TTGGGGGGGGGGGGGGGGGGGTCATCTTGGTTCATACAGGGGCACCATCTATATCCTGGACTGAGACACTGGCTCAGAGATGACAGTCATGTAAATCTTTGAGCCTTTTCACAAGCGTCTGACACAGATCAGCCCCCTGCTGCATCCTCTCCTTGTGACTTCTTACAATGTTGCAGTCTGACCACTGGGGGAGAAGAGACTGAGGAAATGCTTCCTCCTGCCTGCAGCAGACTGATCACTGGGGGAGGTGAGACTGAGGAAATGCTTCTTCCTGCCTGCAGCAGACTGATCACTAGGGGAGGAGAGACTGAGGAAATGCTTCCTCCTGCCTGCAGCAGACTGATCACTGGGGCAAGGGGAGACTGAGGAAATGCTTCCGCCTGCAGCAGACTGATCACTGGGGGAGGGGAGACTGAGGAAATGCTTCCTCCTGCCTGCAGCAGACTGATCACTAGGGGAGGAGAGACTGAGGGAATGCTTCCTCCTGCCTGCAGCAGACTGATCACTGGGGGAGGGGAGACTGAGGAAAATGCTTCCTCTGCCTGCAGCAGACTGATGACATCATCACAGCCTAGTCAGTGTAACTGGACTGGAGCTCAAGCTTCTTAATGGTAAAAGTGGGAGGAGCTTTTCTGAAAATGGATACAATTGCTGTATTCACGTCAGAAACGTCCTCATACAGACGTGTAGAGTGGCTGACGGTCCGGCTTAAAGGAGAGCTCCATGCAGCATAGAGTGGTATAAAGCTTGTCAGCCATGCAGCAGATGAAGAACCGTGTCCAGTGAAGGTCCTGTCCGGTGTGGGTAGGACCGGGGGATGGATAACGTGTTGAGCTCTCTTCCCCACGTGACGAGATTTATTTGTTTTTGTCTGGCTACAATGACGCGTGTGAGACGAGGGGACAGGAAGCGCCTGAATTGCCCTCCCATCCTCCGCTTTTTCCTGCCTCTCTCCAGCATGGCACCGGACCAGGACGGGCCCTCCCATGAAGGAAATGGGTCCCTGCTATTCTGTCGTAGAAGGATGAGCGGGATCATTTCAAGGATCCGTCCACCTTTAACACCATGTTCCATCCACACGTAGGACATGGCGCCATACCCCAACATCCTGAATCGTGGTGTGCTTCTCCCCTCCCCCGCCGGCAGGTCCCTGTGTATTTCTGGCTTTGGCGAGGCTTTTGTGCGGCTCTTTGTCATTCATTCTCAGGACGTGTGAAGGGAAAATCCAGTCCCATCTGTCACTGCAGCAGAGGGTTTTTCTCAATGGAGCACAAGTCTGGTGACGTGACCACTTCTTCCAGTCCCATAACCAAAGGCCCCGACATCTGTATGAGGGTGGAGGAATAGTCTGCAGGAGCCTGTACGGTGCATGCGCCCTCCACTGATCACTTCTTCCGGTCCCATAACCAAAGGCCCCGACATCTGTATAAGGGTGGAGGAATAGTCTGCAGGAGCCTGTGCGTTGCATACATCCCTCCACTGATCACGGCTGCAATGCTCTGCAGGATCCAATGCAAAAAAAAAAAAAGCAAATTTTTTTCTTTTTAATTCATTTTTTGCACAAAGTGGACTACGCCTTCTATCCGGCGTGCTGTTGCGAAATAACCCGCCGTGCCATCCAATCAGATTCTCTCTCTTCATTGGAGGTGAATGAATGGAGGAATCGGGTTTCTACGAGCAACAGGTTAGTCCTCTTTGATGGGGAGGACCCATTGATCTGCATGGAGGGTGCAGGTACCTGGGCTTGGCGCTGTGACAGTTGGGTGCCTCGTAGATGTTCGCTGCTTCCATAATGATGTCACGGCGTATTGGTCTGTTCGGACACTGTAGAGAAGGGGGGTAGCCAAACCCGGGCCCTCCAGCTGCGGTGGAACTACAAATCCCATGAGGCATTGCAAGACTCGCAACCACAGACATGAGTCCCCCGGAGAGAGATGCATCATGGGATTTGTAGTTTCACCACAGCTGGAGGGCTGGAGTTTGGCTACCCCTGCTGTAGAGAGTAATGACGTCTCTAATGATTTATGACTTCGGATTGCTGTGAAGGGTTCAGTATCTGCTTTGTGCAACGCGTGTACACAGCGTAATGAAAAATGCTTTTATATATATATATATATATATATCTCTATTATTATATTTATAATGTGACTTGTAGCAGTGCCAGCAGTCAGTCCTTAGTACTCTGAGATGCTGACTCACGGCAGTTAAAGCTGAGCTAGATCTAATAGACACAGATTATTGCAGCTTTGTGTTCCTGAACACATCAATACATGGAAGTACCTGAATGTGAACTGATATCAGCCTCTTGCAGTCCCCCGTACAGCAGTATGTGAGGAAGAAGCCGGTTATTCATCTGCTGATAGGAGGAGAGAGCAAAGCCATTGAGAAATGAGCTCACCACTGTACTGCTTCTACTTTCACAGGCTGGGGGGGGGGCGGGTCCGGGACAGTCTGGGCTCAGAGGAAGTGAGTTAGATGAGGGTGAGGCTGGCCATCAGGCTAAGGACATCTAGTGGTGGAAAAGGGCAGCGAGGGAGAGTTCTTGATTGAAAGTATATATTGCATGAAAAGCCTGAACTAAATGCCCCGGCGCAGCTTTGTGTGTGCGCAGTATGGTGGGCAGAGGATGGCGCTAGCCCTCGGATTTGGATTGTGTTTACGTTGTGCCCTCGTGGCCCATGCCGGGCTGGCATCCTGGCAGAGTTATGAGCCGCCACTAGCCTGTAGTTGGGGCCACATCTTATTTGCTTCTAGAACAGTGACGCTGTTGATTCCTCACTCATCACGCATTGTCTGTGTGGCGTGTATTCTGGAGCTCCCATCGTGGGCGGAATGGGCATTTTCCCATGGGGCCAGCTTTGATGAGGCCTGATGGGGATATTTCATTGATAGGAGGAGGGCCCGCAGTTGGTGTCACATGTTGGACATTATATAGCAATGGTGGCTCCTCCCCTTGGAGTCTGGGAGGGAGGCTGTCCAGCACCATCTTGCTTTGTGGCTCCGAGATGTCATGTGATCAAATGCCAACATCCACATAGGAAGCTGATGCTGGGAGATGTGAGGCCATGTCACGATAAACCATGTCCTTTAGGAACATCCATCAATGAGGTGCTATGGCACACATGATGCCCTCCCCTTACCCACAGAAATCTGTCCCTGCCATGAAAGAGCTAGCTGGCTGTGTTTGCCCCACGGGCCTAAGGTTCCCAGTCTGTCTTGTATCTAATGCTGGATTATTATTAGACTGGGTGGAGCGGGTTTGTTTCATAGGGTCTGTAAAGACTCTTAAAACATTTTGGACGCACTGATACACACCTCGGGCGGAGGTTGCTGATAACACCCGTCATATGACAGGGCAGGAAGTCTGGGCTGGCTTATCAGTCTGCGTTCACAATGCCACGGTGTCATTGATCGGGTGGGGACAGGTATTACATCAGAATATGACACAAGTCATTGCAGAGCTGAGGTGATATTAAAGATTAGACCCCCCAGAATATCATGCAAAGTCTGATTAGTGGTCTGAATTGGTATTTTGAATGATCCAGCCTATCGGTTCTCAGTAAGCGGTGGAAACGTTGTCACGTTGCGGTTTCCTAGGCTGGACAGTCTGTGTGAATGACGGCAGATCAGCGCTGCAGGTATAGAATATTATCTGGTAACATGTCCTAGCCCGGCCATATATTAGATTTGCGCGTTTGCACGTTGGGCTTGGCACTATGGAATACGCCCGGTAGGTCATGAAGCATTGCGCAAGGGGTGGTAACCCAAAACATTCAATCGCATTGAATCTTTTTACTGATCCGAATACAGCCGCGTACCCTCACAGTGGGGCTGCCCCCGCGCACTGCAAGGGTTAAGTGCTCAAAAAAAGATATACTCACCTGATCTTTGGTCCGGCCTGGCTGCTAGTCCAGCCCCTGCAGCCTTCTCTCCCCATGGGTTCTGGCGGCCTAAGGACCGCTGAGGTCATCACGTCTAATGCAGGTCCATTGCATTAGATGGGAGTACACCGAGGGGGGAGGGAGGCGCACTGACTGTCACAGGACAGAGGATCAGGTGAGTATATCTTCTGTATTCCGGCCCCTAGACCAAGGGGGCAGTTAACCCTTGCAGTGCGTGGGTAGCATTACTGCAGGGGTACGTTTCTTTTTTTTTTTTTTTTAAATTAATATTCCTGTCCTTTTTTAAGTTCCTTAAACTAGTTATATGTAAAAATTCGATGTTCTTTTTTATAGGTAATACACAGCTGCATTAAATGGGGTTTTGTTGTATGCCTCGAGTTTACTTTTCATAGCCAATTCCCCGTATCAGTTCCTCTTCTGTATCAATGAATATTTGACTGGCTGCTTCTATGTGGACAGTACGTGCCGACAGTCACCGCATAAGGGCTTTATTATGCAAAATCAGAAGAAGGAACTGAGGTGTAACCAAGCTTCCATCTTTGTATAAGCGCCCAGTATATATTCCATTCATTCCTGCTCGGCACCAACGATTCCAGTGTAATAGGAAAATGGTCAGCAGTGGGATTTTCCTCGGGAAGGAAGTTCTGCGGCAGACACACTTCTAGTGATGTGTCCTACTTACTATTAGTCGGCGGAGATTGTAAAAGGAAGAGCTTTATGTAGGTGACGGTGGAGCAGATAAAGACACGGTCACCTGCCCTGTGGTCTTTCTGGCTGGGGGTGAAGAAATTGAATAGGGAATGCGGGAGCCGGTTCTGCCCCAATGCGGGAACCAGCCGGCTCCATTGATAACGGCCACAGAAAACCTCTAAACTTAGGTGCTGGCTGTAATTTATAAGGAGCATTGGCGACCTGGCTCCTGGGATTTGTACAGCGTTGCTCTACTCCTTCGCCCCCATTATGTCTCCATTGGCATAAACATGTATTCATGGCTAAGATGAATGTAAATGAGCCATTTCAGCAAAGAGTTTAACCAGAGTGATTGGATGGCACTTGCACACTCCACCGCCACTTGATTTCCTATGAGCAACCTTAAAGTGACATTAAACCCTCAGATTTTTTAACATAAACCAATACTGTAATGTGCGCCTTACTGTAATCCATGTTTGTTCCCTTCTCTTTGCTGCTCTTCCTTTTTAAATCTGTATCTCTTCTCATGCTGGGCAGAACTTCTGTTTTGCAGCAGACTGCCTTGTCTCTGGAATGGATACATGGTGTCTGTGTATAGGTTTGCAACCTGAGCCAGCACTACAGGAAGAGGCACTCAGCTACAAAGGGAAGTTCTCCCCAAGCATGAGAAGACATGAGGATTTAAAAGGAAGAGCAGCAAAGAGAAGGGAAACTACCATGGATTACAGTAAGGCACACATTACAGTATTGGTTTATGTTAAAAAATCTGAGGGTTTAATATCACTTTAAGCTATAACCTAATAGCAAAGTGTATGCTTGGCACCTCTCCAGCTGTGTATGATATCATTTTGGGTGTGACCCGAATGGACAAAGTCTGAGGTTGTGGCATTATGGCGGAGGGCAGAGTCGGATAAGGCTGTTGTCAGCCCTTCTGTGGGAAAGCATTGCTATCTGTCCCCCGCCGGGTAGATTTATCCCGTTCTGGTCCATCATTGATCCAGGTGACTATTGTCAGCAAAACGGGAAGCTTGGGGAAATCCCAAATTGTAAAGTTGTCACCAGAGCTAGCAGTGGGGACATCCCTTCCGATGGCAATTAAGATGGGAATTCCCAATGTTTTGGGGAAATATTATCTTATTTCCTGTAGCATCTCCAGGACAGGAAGTGAAGGGAAATCATCCCAGCAAGACGCAACAAAAAGCTTTGGCTATACAGTACATGCGCTTTAAAGGCCACCCATGAATAAGAGGGAATTTTGGGTTGCTTAGGCTCTGAAGGAACTATACGCACTGATTATGTAACTTTCTTTTGCATTAGGGTGCCCACTCTTGAACCATGGCTGAGCACGAACCCACCTCAGAGCAGCTTGCACAGATTGCAGCCGAAAACGAAGAGGACGAACATTCTGTCAACTACAAGCCTCCAGCTCAGAAGACCATTGAAGAGCTTCAGGCCCTGGACCAAGATGACGAGAGTCTGAGGAAGTACAAAGAGGCTCTTCTGGGCCCTGTTCCCACCACAGTGGGTGAGTCATGAGCAGCCGGGCACAACACACCGATCTGCCAGCACACATTGTTCCCTAAGCCATGTGCACTTTGTAACACCCCCCTCTGTAGTGCACCTATTTTCCCAACCTCTGAGCTAGCTTCTGACACGGCTGTTTCCATGCTGCACTACCTTCTCTGGGAGCTTCATCCACATTGTCTGCACTATTTCTGTGACAACCCCTATTCCAGTGTCGTCACTGGAGTTCCTTGGCAATCACCACCCCTCTACTGGTCCACAGTATGTCTTCTGGAATCTTCTCCAATTCCTTCATCCATATGGTCTCTGCCACCTCTCCTCCATTGTCCATGGTACATCCTCGCAGCTAGCGTTACATCCTCCTTTAGTCCCTCCCTCATTTGCACTACATTATCTTACAGCCCTCCCCTCAGCCTTGCATTCTTCAGGGGCCTCACCATTGTCCACAATACAGCGTGATTAAACTTGTGCTTGTTCCCCTCCCTCGATTTCTCGCCACAATACCTGCATTCAGGGACAGCTGAACAGCCGGCTCCTTGCTAATCGGCGAGGAAGCCTGGATTTCCAGCCAATCGGCATGGAGCCGGCTTGCCAACCAATCAGGAAGCTGGGAGGCGGGTCACTACTCGCAGCCTGGCTTCCTGAATGCCCAGGAAGCCGGCTCGATGCGGATTGGCTGGGAAGCCGGTTTCCCGGCCAATCGCAATCAAGCTGGCCAAACATCATGGAGCCGGCTTCCCGGGCAATCAGGAAGCCGGGTGGCATGTCATTACCCGTCGCCCGGCTTCCTGATTGCCCGGGAAGCCGGCTCCATGCCAGCGGAAGTATCAGTATCAGTACTCTGTATCAGCAATTACCGAACGCAAAATATCGGTACTCGTACTCTAGACCAAATAACCGGTATCGGTGCATCCCAACTTTTTACTGATAAAAGGTGGAACCTTTCTGAAAAAAATATTGTTGTTGTTGTACATTGTGACATGTCAGAAATTTCATGCAGATACATTTAAAGTTACCGACAGGTTCACTTGGTTTTGGGCCAACATAAACTTGAAAGATTTAGACCCAGAGACGGGCAGGCAGCTTTTCTAGGAGAGGTGTACAGCAGAAACCCTTTTATATTTCTTATCGTAGGATTCCTTTTAAAAACAAATCCCTTGTTAAACATTATCTCTCATCAGATCCCGCTGCTCCAAACGTGGTTGTGACCAAACTGACCTTGGTATGTGCAGAAGCTCCAGGACCACTTGAGCTGAACCTGACAGGTAATTCTGTGTGTTTTGATGTCCGCAGTATCAGATGAATGAAGGAGCGGGTGTTCTCTGTGCACTGCGTTCCTGTGTGGTCTTACATCTGTCTGTTTTTGCTTGCCAGGGGATCTGGAGAAGTTCAAGAAAGAATCATTCGCCCTAAAAGAAGGAGTCGAGTACAGAATCAAAATCAGTTTTAAGGTGAGAAGTTTTCAGTAATTGAAATGACTCGCATCCATACTGGTGTTTGTTTTAAATCAGTACATTCCAAATATGCCCTTAAAGTAAAGAATGTATACCGTTGTCAGTCCCATTTTTATACACTCACTGGCCACTTTATTAGGTACACTTGCTTGTACCGGGTTGGACCCCCTTTCCTCAGAGATTTTGGTCCATATTGACATGATAGCATCACAGGCCCAAAGTGTGCCAAGAAAATATCCCCCGCACCATTACACCACCACCAGCCTGAACCGTTGATACAAGGCAGGATGGATCCATGCTTTCATGTTGTTTATGCCAAATTCTGACCCGACCATCTGAATGCCGCAGCTGAAATCAAGACTCATCAGACCAGGCAACGTTTTTCCAATCTTCTATTGTCCAATTTTGATGAGCCTGTGCAAATTGTAGCCTCCGTTTCCTGGTCTTAGCTGACAGGAGCGGCATCCGGTGAGGTCTTCTGCTGCTGTAGCCCATCTGATTCAAGGTTCTCCGTGTTGTGCGTTCAGAGATGGTATTTCTGCATACCTCGGATGTAACGAGTGCTTATTGGGAGTTACTGTTGCCTTTCTATCATCTGGAACCAGTCTGCCCATTCTCCTCTGACCTCAACAAGGCATTTCCGTCCACACAACTGCCGCTCACTGGATATCTTCTCTTTTTCGGACCATTCTCTGTAAACCTTAGAGATGGTTGTGTATGAAAAGCCCAGTAGATCAGCAGTTTCTGAAATACTCAGACCAGCCCGTCTGGCACCAACAACCACACCACATTCAAAGTCCCTTAAATCACCTTTCTTCCCCATTCTGATGCTCAGTTTAAACTTCAAGTCGTCTTCACCACGTCTAGATGCCTAAATGCATTGAGTTGCTGGCTGATTAGCAATTTGTGTTACCAAGCAATTGAACAGGTGTACCTAATAAAGTGGCCGGTGAGTGTATATAGGTGTAACAGATTAGTTTAATGTCAATATTGTCAGCCTGGTAGTTGAGCAAGGATCAAGATGATAGGCTAGGGAGCTTATATTTGAAATCAATTAGTTATGTCAGCTCTTACATTTCTCTCCTGATAAGTTACCTAAAGCTGACCTTCAGGCAGATTGCAGAACACCAATTCATGCAGCTCTGTGTTTTTAAAAGCAAACAATGTAAGGACCTTGACTTTGTATTGACCTCATGCAATCCACTGTACAGCAAAGCTCATACTAGGAAAGGCAGGGGCATCACCAGGAGCCAAGCAGCTATGCTAACAAGGAACATACACACAAAAGAAGAGGGCACTTAATGTGTGGGAACTCAGTGTGACCAAAGTGTTACTTCTACGGACTCTATAGCAACAAGGAACATGCTGAAAAGAAGAGAGAGCAGAGAGATGAGCTTGTTAGTCTTCTGCTTCTCATTCACTGTCTAGGGCAGGGACAAGCCCTAGCTTCATAACCAAACTGCAGTAGAGACAAGTCAAGGCATCAGGCTGGTTGTGCTGTGTAAATCTCGGGAATGAATGGACAGTATTAAAAGCCTCTTAGCAGTAGCTCCTGTGTATGTATCCCAACAGTGTATTTAGCAGTTTTCCTGCAGTTTCCCTTTATGGCTTTGCTGCAAAGTAACCAGTTGTTTGTGTTACAGGTGAACAAGGAGATTGTTTCCGGGCTGAGGTATCAGCAGCAGACATCCAGGAAAGGTGTAAAGTGTAAGTAACGGTTATCTTGCCTATGGTCTTAAAACAACAGATGCAGATACATTTAGGGCTAGATCACACCAGATGCAGTTGTGATGCGGTCCGTTCAGTTTGGCTGCTGCAGCCAAAATACATCACAATGCTTTCCTATGGGATTCATACTTCTCAGTATGTACATTGAGTTGAACATGTGCAAATTAATGTACAGTCCCAACATGTTCAAGTGTGAATAAACTCCAGTGTGCATGCACAGGAGTTGTCATCTTGGGCCGCCAATCAAGATGGCCGAAGATGCTGGGGAGAAGATGCTGGCATCATGAGGCAGCTTGTGAACGCCGGATCTCTGGAGTGAAGTATAGTTGGACTTTAAGAGAGCAAAACATTTGACTTGTCACCCTTCAGAGAGGCAAGTACAGTAAACTCCAAGTTATCTGGTACCCATGGGGATTGGTAGATACCGGATAACTGTAGTTTCTGGTTGCTTGAGAGTCATTAACTCTCAAGCAACAACCCCTCTGCCCCAATTGTTTTCTGCTATTGGCTATTTCAAATTCCCATATCCAATACCACAATGGCTATTGCACACATCCACTGCCTGTTTACATTCACCTGCCAGCTGCGGAATCTAGCTGGCGGCCGCAAAATTATTTAGTGTGCACATGTTTATCAAGCAACTGGCATAAAAAATTGAGGACATATGTCCTCAATTTTTTTTCCTCTGATTGCTTGAATGCCGGATAATGTTGAGTTTACTGTATAAAGCCTCTCACTGGGTGCTGCCAGTTTCACTTTTGATGGTAGTGACAGGGTCACTTTAAATGTGCCTCATTGCTCCCAATTAACAAATACAACTTTTTGTTTCAGTGGACAAGACCACCTACATGGTCGGAAGTTACGGACCTCGCATTGAGGAATACGAGTTCCTCACCCCGATCGAAGAAGCCCCAAAAGGCATGTTAGCCAGAGGCTGTTACAACATGAAGTCGATTTTCACCGACGACGACAAAACCAACCACCTCTCCTGGGAGTGGAACCTGACCATCAGCAAGGAGTGGAAGAACTAGGCCTGCCCAGGGACGCCCTCCAAAGGCTCAACACCCCTAGTTCCTCCAACTCTCTGAGAAGTGCTGCCGGATTGTGTTCCAACTCTGTACCACGTGGTGTCTCTTTCACCCCCCACACACACAGCTCCGTCCCATATAGTCCCTCTCCCCTCCCCATTCCAAAAAAAAAAAGAAAAATGCCAAGTGGGATTGACGTTTCTGCCTCGTGCGGACACATGTCTGCCTTACCTTTCCTGTGTTATACACCTAAGTGTTGGATGACTGGGAAGTGTTCAGTGCTTAAATGATTGTGCCAAGCTCTAGCTCTTGGCCTTATCAGCAGCAGGTTTACACTAGGAGTTCATAACAAAGATCCTATGCTGTATCCTCCCTTCTCCAGTATGTCCCACCCCATGACCGCCTTATAATTGTTTGCTGCCTTTTGTTTTTTGTTCTTTTTAATTTTCGTAGCCATGTTGCCTTAAAATGATTTTGCATTTGTTGCAGTAGGAGCGATCGTTTCTGCTCCATGTTAAGACTCGCGTGCCTCGCTTTTTTTGAAGTCTGCCTGCCGCCACGCTGTGCGTCGTCCCAGCCTTGGACGACGCCGCGTGCAAGTTTCTAAGCTGCTCTCGTCCCGTATTTTTTAGCCGCGACCAGGTCGCACATAAAGGCACTTATCAATAAATTTCTGAAAGTTGCATTTTTTTTTTTAATATAGAAAGTCAGGAATTGTTATCCAAGTTTGCATAGGACCAAACAACTGCAAAACGTTTGCTCGGTGTCAGTCCATGTTTCGTGGGCCGCAAGGGGTAAAGCACACCGACCAGATTTGTGCACATGCTTGTAGAAAGAGCTCCGTTCTAACGCTAGTACTGACATATGAATGTGGGGTCACAGGCTGCTTTATATCTTGGGGTGGGAGGGTTGTAACGGTGTCCTTTTTGGGGTACAGCCCTTATTTATTGCCTTTGACACAGAGTACTTTTTTCATGCTTCATGAATTAAAGTGTAACTAGAGGCACCATTTTATAGATTTGGAGTGGTGAAGGGTTAGAACTACCGTCCCCTTTTTTTTGTATTCCGTTAAGGAGATTGACTCTCGAATTGCTCATCAGTGTCACGGGGGAACAAAAGTGAAGGCAAATCCAAAATTTAGAGTTGCCACCAGAACAAAAAAAGAGGAAATCTTCCAATGGGGAGGATACTTCTTCCTGTGACACCTGTCTAAAGGTGCCCACACACCTTACAATTTATCTGCAGATTTTCTGTGGTCAGATGGAAAAAGTGCAACAGATTGGCCCAGGTGGAGATTACTCCATACACACAGTTAAGTGCAGATGGAGGAATCTGTTGAACCTTTTCCATCTGACCACAGAAAATCTGCAGATAAATTGTAAGGTGTATGGCCAGCTTTGGGGGGGGGGCATTTCCCTCGTATTGGCAAGATATCCTCTGACTTCCTGTTGATTCTACAGGACAGGAAGTTAGGGAGATTTCCCTAATGAAATACAGATGGTAAAAAAAATACTGACAGTTTTTATCAGCCCCCACTATATCCAATGTGGGGGGACAAAAAGCTTTGGCTTTAGATATCCTTTAACATTTCACCGGGGGGGTGTCTCTGTTTTTTGCAGCCCGGAGTGTCTTGGAGGAGGGGAGGGGGATTATCTCTAAGGTAGTTTCTTGCAGACAGAATTTTTTGTTTTTTCTTTTTTTGTATTTGTTTTGTCTGTAATCCTCTCCCCCAAACAGATTCGCATGATTCCAAACGGTCGACTGCTTTCCTTTTTATGAAAAATAAAATGATTCCAACTGGCTACACGATGCTTCCTCTTTGTAATGTGCTTCCCGCACTGCAGCCTCTCTTTCCTCCGGTATCCACTGTGCCGCCAACGACCCGCACCTTCCAGTAATTGTGTCATTGTCACCAGTAGCTGAATCACTGCTGCTCTGCACCGCCATGCAGCTGCCACCAGGGGACACTCTTGCAGCGTTTCATCATTCGTCATCTGCAGATCAGTGATGCAAAGTGGCTCTCCTATTTTAGGTGACTATCACTAGGAAGAGTGTGACGAGGCGGCACACTGAATACACCCATAATGCTTCTGGTACCACAACAAGACTTGGCCGTGCATGTTTGGACTGCACTCTGGTGGCGGCATGCCGCACAGATTCAGTGGCAGTTTGGGTCGTATGAAATAAAAAACGGCGTTTGATGATAGAGAGCGGCGCGCTGTTTACACTGGCTGAGCATGATCATCGGCAGTCTACTGATTTCACTTGCAGACCCTGCTGATGGCAAGTCGCGTAAGCTGTTGTCCATGATGAGTAGGCAAGGACTATAGTAGAAGCTATTCTATTCAAACTTGCCGTGGCTGACAAGACTTATACCGTCACTTCAGATTTTATCACCCGCTCTGATCATGATCGGAGCGGCGACAGATGATCTAATCTAATTCCCTGCTGCTTATTGGTGGCCTGTCGTGCTGCCCACTGGAGAATGCGTGGGCGACTTGCAGCAAGTCCTAATCCTGCAAACGTTTGCTGTCAAACTGCCGGAATGATGGGGGCATTTATAGGAACATATGACAACGTGTCGGAGGACTGTAATCATTTACATTCTGCTATCGGGTAAAAGAATAACACGAAAGAGATAAATCAAGAATCTTGCTAAAGCCGTCTGGGTTGATGTGTTTTATTGAGTACCTTCGGCTAGAGCTCTTCTTTAAAGTGTATGTAAACCCCAAACCTGAATGTAATACAGAGGTAGCCAAACGCTGACCCTCCAGCTGTGGTGAAACTACAAATCCCATGATGCATCTCAGGGAGTCATGTCTGTAGCTGTGAGAATCTTGCAATGCCTCATGGGATTTGTAGTTCCACCACAGCTGGAGGGCCGGAGTTTGGCTAGCCCCGATGTAATATATCGCAGCTCACCAGTCCTTAGCGATGGCTGCATTAGTTTTCTTTATTTCAGGCTTTGTTTTCCTTTTTTTTTTTTTTTTGTAACCTGCTGATCCTGTGAATATCGCACTTCCTGTCCCTTTTCTCTACACTTCTTTCTCTCCATTGTATCTATGGAGGAAGCCATTGTTGTCACACAGGCTGGACTTCAAACGTGTCTGCCTTTGTTCATCTCCATTGCATGGTGAATTGATCGACTTGTAGTTTGCGTAATACAAATAAGATACGTTGGGGGGAATTTATCAAAACTGGAGCCGCTGTGCATAGCAACCAATCAGCTTCTTTCTTTCATTTTCAAATCCCAACTGAAGAGAAGCTGATTGGTTGCCATGCCCAACTGCTCCAGTTTTGATTTATTTCCCCCCCCCCCCTCCCTTTGTTTTTTTACCTTTTTTTTTTTTAGGCCATTTTCACACGGGCATGCCCATCCGTCCGGTGTGTACATCTGTGCAGATACCTGCTCCCAGGAGGGACACCAGGGGGTAGCCTAACTCTGGCCCTCCAGCTGTGATGAAACTACAAATCCCATGATGCATCTCTCTCCGGGAGTCGTGGCTGTGAGAATCTTACAATGCCTCATGGGCTTTGTAGTTCCACCACAGCTGGAGGGCCGGAGTTTGGCTACCCTTGGTGCACACACTACGATAGGACACGGCTACAGCCTGCATCCAAGTGCGTGCACCCCGATGTACAGGTTCGGGGGGGGACGTAGCCGTATCCTGTCCTAGGAATCTAGAGGTGGTTGCATGCAATTACACGCTGCACCTGTCCCTATCGGGAGCAGATCTCTGCACAAGCATCCATGCCATACAGATGTGCACATCCCTGTGAATAAGGCCTTTTGATTGCAGGAAGTAACAAGGACACAGCATTTTTGGCAAGATGAACAGATGTTCTCTGTACTCGCTGAAAATATTCGTAGCCTAAAAGTGGAAACAAATGCAGCCATCACTCAGCACTGGTAAGCTGCATCATATTAAATGGTTGCTACTCCAGTACAGAACGTAAAGCGCATCTAACGCTAAAATCATAATCGTAAAGGGGAAGGGGTGTCTCTAAATGTTATACCAGTGGTAGCCAACCTTGGCACTCCAGCTGTTTTGCAACTACAAGTCCCATGAGGCATTGCAAGTCTCTGACAGCCACAGACATAACCCCTAGCGGCAGATGCATGTTGGGATTTGTAGTTTTGGCACAGCTGGAGTGCCAAGGTTCGCCACCACTGTGTTATACCATCAAGATCACCGACTCCTCAGTGTCTTTTATCAGCTTACAATAATCCTGTGCAAACCCAGAACTGGTGCCTGTGGTGCGTCTATACAACTGGATGGTGGAATAACACTGTGTGGCCTCCGATGGGCAGCTGTACTGTCCTATAAGGGTTGCCCAAAGTTGGCATTACTAATAGGTCGGGTGCTACAGCCCTCCACAGACAGGACAAGGTGCTCTGGTGAACAGGTCGAGTGGCCCTCTACAGAAGAGGTCAGAGGCTTTGATTGGGCAGGAGAAAGATTTTGTTACGGCTCCTTTTTAATATTTTTTAAATCGATCATTACACTGGAGAACCTCTTCAAAGATGAAGAAATAACGTCACCAGCACTCCAAATGATAATTTAGCAATAGTCCATTTCATTACACATTGCCATTCAATGCAAGCGCTTTCGGGGCCTCAAGGGGTCCCCTTCATCAGGCTCATTCTGAGCCTGATGAAGGGGACCCCTTGAGGCCCCGAAAGCGCTTGCATACATCCGGATATAAAACCGGACAAATGAATGTACTTCTGTGTTCATTAATACACCATTCAATGGAATTCACTAAACACTTATTAGTAGGTGTGACATGTAAGAACAAGTTCGGGTTTATACTTCTGTTATCACCTTCTCCAACCGGTGGCGCCCTCGCACGAGGATGACATCACACTCCTTTCGGCTCGATCCTGGGAAATACAGAGCAGAGGAAGACGCCCTTGCAATAGACCGAGGCATCTTTTTACGAGATGGCACCCGCTCTGCATTCCCCAGGAGTCTTCTCGGAAGGGTAGTGACATCACACCCGGTGATGTGTAAGACATTGGTAGGGTTAGGTAAGTATAAATCTATTTCTTATTTTGTAACAGGCACATTTTACACTTAGGAACAGTAGGTGGAGGGGGGGCCCAGGCAATCTGTTGTGACTGCGGTAGAGGACCAGATCTTCTGTCCTGCCAGG